AACAATATATATCCCCCCCCCCTCCCGAGGTTCTGGCTACTTCGCCAGTATTAGCGGATCATGATTTTCTAGAGCAGAGAGCACATATCTGCTAAAACATATCTGCACAAAGCCTGTGTAAAAAGATGTTTTGTTTGTTTATTGAACATTGTTTATTTCAAACGTTTTACCTCAAACGAAAAACATGTTGTTTTTCGTGTAAAAACAAAACAACAAGAAATCAAAACCAACAGTTTGTCAAACATCAATGTCAACACGCACCCACACATACACTCTACAAACACAAACGTCCAACACAATGTATCTGAATTACTATTCCACGCACACATAAACATTCAACATTCTCACATATAGACATAACTGCCCACATACGATGGTAGGTAATTAAGTAAGGCGGGGTCTGATTGACGGCCGCTTGATTGCGCTCGACCCGATCTACGCTGGCTATGATCTTTACCCATCCTAAACATAATTACGTATGAATGTATCCATGTGTCAGATCTGAAACGGCTCAAGTTCAAACATCAATTTCAATATAATGATCTCTATGTCAATTGAACTTGAAGTAAAATAGCAACAAATATGTGATATTTAGAAAGATTATGCATTCGGTGCGAAATACATCTTGCCCCGAGACGCCAGAGCCATGATGTCCGAGTTCTCGTTCTTTAAAAAAGAAAGAACTAAATGATTGACCGATACTTCTCGCAATCAAAAGGCGGTTCTTTTTCCTAAAACTGAGTTATTTTTTCACATATTACTCAGTAGGCGACGATCCAAAAATGTTTTGTGATGAATGTGACTAGTAGATACGTTGAAATGTTAAGTTTATTAAACATTGTTTTGTTTTTATGCATTGTTTGTTAAGTTTTATAATATAAAATAAAATACACCTAAGTCATGACAAATTGTAATAATCAGTTTTTTTCATCAAGTTTAAAAGAAACTAACCTTGATCACTAATTAAATTCGTTTTAGGTTCAATGAAAGAAATGTGTAATTCAAAATCGATTTACAAATGGCATATCTTGTAACAAACATAAAATAAAAACTCTTACTCTAATAAAAACCACCTTTTCTTAAAATTGGATTAAAAGATATAAGAAACACTTGAAAACCATTAGCTTGACTTATTGGGGTACGATTAGAAATCAAAGGAAATACTTGTGAAGTTGTTATAAATATACACAGAGAATAGAGATAGAGGGAGAGAGAGACAGGAAGGCAAGGAAAGTGTAAATGAATGAATTCAGTGCAAAAGGCTTCTTATATTTTACAGCCCATGTTTTGGAGAATGTTATAGAGATATTAGTATTACAATATATCATCCTGCCACTTAACCTGCTTGTGTTATCTAAAAAGGTTTAATATGGATTATCTTATAAATATTAATGTAATTTTTACATTGATACTATTTAATTTGACCGAGTTTTTACTGTTCTAGCGATGATTTATTAGAGAATATTAGTTTACAGTTCTAATGCAAGCTTCTGGATAAGTTAATATAGAAAGAGCGTAGGCAACTAGGTTAACGTAATTATTGTAAGTTTGTATCAACCCTGTTCTTTATCAACTCGTAAATGTCGGTCTCAATCAGGAGACCAGAAACTAATAAATAGTGACAGCAGTGTTAAGGAAAGTCATTAGGTAATGTAGTGACTAATGAATTTGTTATAAGATAGGAGATTTTTGGTAAAAGGATAATCTTTGTAATAGTTTCTACTTACGCCTAAGTGTGAGGTACGTACGTATCTATGATCATATAATTTTACTCAAACGAATTTTCCCATTATGATAAATAGAATAATGAATTAAATAATGCCTCTTCAATACAACTGCGGATAAAATACGGGGACTTCAAAACTAAGGGGTCATTACTAAATGTATTTTAAATTAAAATAAATATCTTCATTGAGAGTCACATAACGAGGAAACATAAAAATTGTATAATTATGATATAATTATATTTTGTTTTGTTACAATAATTTTTTCCATTATTAATTTGTTATTATTCACTGTAAATATGTGTCACAGTCTTAAATAGTTCAGAATGTATAGAAAACTTGCTAAAAATAACTTTAAAAAAGTATGCAAACTCCGTATGTTTTAATTGTATTAGGTTTTTCTTGGTAATAAATTAATTAGATTTTCAATTTTAAAATATATGTAATAAAGGAATAAGAAATTAAAAATAAAATCTCAATGAGTTAAAGACGACAATTAAACACAGATGAAGCCATTTTCGAAATAAAGATGTTTTATATTAATACGGTCATTATAAAATTTTGTTAGTTATCAATTTACAAAACATAATACATCTGTCAATTTTGCCGGTATATTATTTCGTTTGCGAGACTTGCAATTTTTACATGTTTTGTTTTAGATGGAATACATAAATATAAACGAGGGGAGAGCATCACTTTTGCAACGTATTATTTCCACTAAAAGGAGTGAGCTTATTGCCTTCTGCTGGGTTTTATGACATTTTACGTGATATCTTTTCGTTACTGTGATTATGGTGTAACTAAAAAAACTCAACTTGATTTACCCACCCCGTGAATATTGTAATTAATAATCAAATGAAAACTTTGAATTGAACTAAAATAATATAGCATAGATAATTATTTGCAACAGAGAAAAGGTTCATTCAACTCTATAGAAGCAACTTGCTACGAACGTGTAGCAGTGTAGCAGGCGTAGCAGCTGTAGACATTTTATTAACCGTTTTGTTAGACAGACACCTACGTGTTTGATATTTTTATTTTCTCTTATTTGTCTCTTTAAGTGATTTGTATAGTTATATTTGTTGTTGTGTATGTGACTAAACTATAGTAAAATATTGTGAGCACGTAGCCTTTTAGAGTTTTAATAGACATTCGGCAGTAATAATCGGTTATAGCTTTCTTTTATTTAATAGATTGAGCGTTTGCATTGAATTTTAACCGACTATGAAAGAAAAGGTGTTTAATAAGCTTACATACGAACATACAAAATTTTAACCAAATTCTTTATGATGTAATTAACTTTTTTTTTGGCGTTGGCTTAAAAGACATATATCTCAAAACAGTTTTTTTTTAAATGGTAAACGTTTTTCTATAAATGAAAGTATGGAATTCATCTATATCGAGCAAATATACTTTGAAAAAAAAAGGTGTTTTTGTTAAATAACAATTGAAATTGAACCGGTTGAAAAAAAAGTACTTAGATATAAATGAACTCTCAAAAAGTAATAAAATTCTCTTTTTAGATAAAAGTAGTCGATAAAAAAAACAATAATAGTAACAACATTAACATTTGTTAAACTATTTAATTTTTAATTATGTTTCAGGTATTCCTTCTAATTTTTTTTTAATCTGTCATAACTGATTTAATATATATGTTAACAGTGTCTCTACATGATACTCTACATAAGATATAAAGTCGCTAAGTACACAGTGTAGGGTCTAAATAGAGGTGTATCGGTTGTGTGCTGAGTACTTAATAATGCTCCTTGTGAAGGCTGTGTGTGAGAGGCTGTACGAGGTCAAGGTTCAAAGGACGTGTGTGACTCTACTGATCAATTTGTGTTTTTTCCTTTTATTATCAAGGAGAGTTGTTTCTGTAGCTTTTAGTGAATGAGGTTTAACTACATAGTTTTCATTTAATAAATGGGTTTGGTTTTCGTATCAAGTAAATTGTTGTAGTATTTTTTAAGTAAAGTGACCAAATTTCCGGAAAAAAAAAAGTGGTCTTTCGAACAAACGGTAATAAAAAGGCACTCAGTTAAAGTCAATTATGCTCACATACTCCTCAAGTAAGCTTCTTTTCTTACTATTCTATCTCTTAGCTGACATTGCAAACTTGTTTAATGAGTGTATGTAAGACAGTTTTTATGTATTTTTTTTTCTTTTATGGCAAAGGGGACGAACGAGTCATCATATTTAGTCGTTATTTTTCCTTTTAGATAATCGAATCGAAATATATCGTCGAAAACAAGAAGATCTCCGACTGACTCCGATCCCTTGGCGTTACGTAGAGATGTAGCTTCACTCTGCATTCTCTATCATATATAACATAGAGATTGCTCCGAGGTTTTGTTCGGACTAGTAACGGCCACAACTTTCCGCCATCGTTCCACACGGCATAATTTTCATCCCCACCTCTTGGATAATTGGCACTCCACCACTATGCGCTTTTCAAGACCCTATTTGCCTCGCACAACTAATCTGTGGAACAAGTTCGATATTTTCGGACTGATTCGACCTTTAAATCTTCAAGAAAAAAGCGTACCCCTTCCTCAAAGGCTGGCAACGAGCTTGTTACTCCTGAGTTGCAGACGTTCATGGCCAGTGATCGCTTTCCAAAAGGTAACCCGTCTGTTCGTTTGCCCCCTCTTTTATAAAAAAAGAAGATACACGTTTAGTGACCAAAAGAGCAGTCGGGTCACCTGATAACAAGTAATCACCGCTGCCAAAAGACACCAGCGACGTAGTGACAAGTGCGTTGTTTACCTGTGAAGGATTACGTTGTTTTTTTGTAGGTTTGTAGCACGTATCGGGTCGGAAAATTTGGTTTAAATGTTGGTTGTACTAAAAGAAAAAAAATCTCTGAGTTTTTAGTATTTAAATTAGGTTACACTGATTGTGGTCAAAACGTCATGAAATTAAAGAATTGTAATACTTATTATGAGATTGTATTATTGACATAATTATATTTATAAATAAGTATGTAGATTCTATTACATAAATACTTGAAAAATCCAAGTAAGTGTGGATCCTAATTGTCACAGACTACGGAACATCACAGAATATAGTTATGTTAGGAAAAAAATCTACAAAATGGAGTTATTCTCAATAACACAATGTAATTTGTAATTTCTATAGCATTGAGTATTACCTTGGTGTATAAATTGCACACTATAAGGTAATAATCCAAGTCTTTAACAAGTTATCAAAACTTATATATGAGTTTGGTTAGTCCATAGTACATTGGCGGCAGTTCGAAACTTGCATCGTCCAAGTATGTTTGTGTGCATACTATCTGTCAATCGGAAACACGTGCGTGTAGTAGGCGCGCCTGTGTGCGGCGTGTGGCGCATGCGCGTGGCGTGGCGCGAGGCTGAGCAAGGTGACGTCACGGAGCCACGGCCACCCGCCAGTCGAGAGCCACCGACGGCCGTGCCACACGCCCGCCGCTCCGGCACGAAGACGCCACGCGCGTAAACAACAATAATAACAATCCAATATGAACGCACGCTTATGATATAAATCGCCGACGCGTAAAAATCTTTTTCGGTGTATTTAGTTACCTTTTGATGTATTCATTTGAATTTTAATTTATAAAAAAAAATAAAGAAAATTTGTGTGTTGTGTTGACGTTTAGCGGCGGTTATTGCTGTGTCACAAAATCGATTATAAATCGTGTCTTTTTAGTGCCATTTTTATTCTAAGAAGTGATATAAATAGTAGTAGCGCTAACGATACTTATCGCCAGTACAAATAAATATTTCATTGCCTTCACGCCTATAATATAGAATTTAAAAATTTCTTAAAATAGCCAAGCTTTTCGATTGTTAGACGCGCTAGTTAGTTCCAAAAGACATAGTCAAATATTATTAGTAGATTTTATAAATAAAAAACTATCACAATGTCGCTGATTTGCGGAGGTGAGTTGTCGTGACAGAATCCTTAACTTGTTACACGTTAGCCTAAAAGCAGGTTTAATTTATGCAGCGTTATTAAAAGCGCGACATTGTCTAACCGGTGAGTCATAACATGAAAAACAAACAAATCGTCATCCGCCCACTGGTTAGGTTACTGACGGCTCTCGACCAAATACATAACAAGCTAATGATAAAACACAAAAATGGTTCAAATGGCGATGCACTTCAGAAGAATGTTGTAAACTGTAAATCAACAATGTTAAGTCTAAGTGAGAGTATGAAAATGTGTTTAAAAGGCTTAAAAGCTTTGTTGAGTTAGCACAGACGTTAGGGAAACGTAAAGGCAAATATTAAAAATTAAGAGAGGCATGAACACGTCTCGGCGGTGAGCGGTCTTCCCTCTTAGAGAAGTTAGTGAGAATAAGTATTTGAACTAAAAATATAAATATAAATGGTACATTTTATAAACGAAACTCGGTGTGTTACACTAAGTGTTAATGTTATCTCAAAACGAAATAAATATAATGATTATTTCTCAAACCTTTCCTATTTTTAAACAAAACCTTGAAAATATCTTAAATAGATTTTTAATGGTCCTTTTAGCATTACTAAACAACTTCAAAGTTGTTTGAAGTTTATGACTTTCCTCACTGTATTTGACCTGAAAGTTAATTGAAAGTCAATGTAATCCTCTTATTAAATATAATTATAATTAATGCTTTTAGAAATGAAAGAAAGTAAAAATTCATTTTTCATATTATGATACGTTTCATTTCGATGTGAAATAACATAAAAGAAACAAGAGTATTTCATGTTAAAAAGGACGAAAAAGTATGTGTATAAGAAAAGATACCGCAGCGTTTAAAATATGATTTTGTTGTCACCAAACAGTAATATAACAAAACAAAATAAGATCGCCAGCCAAAACTGCTCCCTACATAATAAGATTTCAATGAAGATAAAGTTATTTAAATGATACGGATGCATCAAACAATAATGTCTGTCACTTTCTTGGCAAATGCACTCTGCGCTCGATGAGAGTCGCCAGTCAAACTAAGCGTTATGATCACGAACAAATGATACGACTAATATAATTTAAAAACTTATGTTTGAAAACATTAAAAAATTTAAAAGTATTTTTTTTTATAAAAATGATATTCTATAATTGTAACGTATAAATAATGAAACAGCTTTTTATAAAAATTTAAAGACCGTTTGTTTATGATCGTAAAAAATATCATAAACTTATTTATAATTCGTTCAGAAATTTCTAAACAACGTAGTATATACATATTTATATAAATGTGTGTATATGATTTAAACTAATCAATGTTTGTTTGTGCCTCAGATGATTTTACATAAACGTTGCTAAGGATACAGCAAAGAACGTACGGTATCTGGAAAAAAAATCGATTTGGAAAGAAAAAAAATTCGCTTTCAAGTGCTAGTGGTGAATATTTTTTTTTTAACTAATTTATAATATTTTTGTTATAAGTGGTGATTACGTGATTCTGATTGGGGAGTGAAATAAATACATGTGTATACTTAAATAATAAATTAACAAAAACGTGATTTTCTTAAAAACTCTACGTATATATATATATATATATATTATCTTTCGTGAATAAATAAGTGTACTATAATTTATTATTCCTTATACAGCGTTTTTTTTGCAAAAAAAAAGGTCGCAAGGGACTTTGATGAAATCAAAGAAATCTATCGTATTCGGCTCGACAAAGCGATTTCACTGGTCCGAGTCTTTGCGTAAACTTGTTTAAAGGGTCAAACGGATAACTTAATAAAGTTCAATTTAGAAGCACATTTGTTACGTAAAATATTATTATTGAATCTAATCAAGTGTAATGTTAGCTAAAAAGTGTAATATGTGTAATAAGTGTGAATTAAAAATGGAATTTAAAAGTGAAGTGATCATTTGCTGTTTTAATAAATGAAACATAAAATGAATTTTAATACATTAAAGAAGAAAATGTTTGTAAAATAATTAATTTGTAAATATTGTGAATGAAAAATTATACCTGATTAACATAGTGATTGCTTGTAACGAAAGTAATTAAACGTAGCACAAGGTGATGTACACAAAAAAATACGAACATTAAAAAACATAAATATTTTTTAATTAGATCCAAATTGTAATTTGAAATTACATGAAATTTAAAAGCAAACAGTAATACTAAAAAGGTAAAACAAGGATAACAACAAAGAGATTAATACAAAAAATAATCTAATCGAAAAATAACATCAAAGAAAAAATCGTTTATAACGGTCAGACAATGTCGTGTTATAATATAAAAACCAATTTGGTGTATATGAAACACAATTTTTACCTACCAATAAATACTGATATGATAATATCATGTTCATTTTCAAGCCTTTCGTGAGATAAGGATCGAACACTTTGTCCAAACGATAACCCTGTAAGCGGCTGACGTGTAAAAAAATGTACAAAATGTTATTATACATTAATATACAACTACGGCGGTGGAAGGGTTATGTGTCTGTTTTAAATTAAATTTGATTTGAATTCGAAATTGTACTTAATGTGGTGATTGACAGAAAAACAACAAAAATGAAAAAAATATTTTTTTGTGAGAATTTGAATAACGAGCGAGGTTTCAATATAACAGTAAGCGAAAACATTTGTAAATGTATATCAACAAAGTTGAAAATATTTTTAAAACCGGTTATTAATGGATTTTTATGTCACGATATCAATGAATAATGACAGATTTAGTTTTTGTAGAGTCTGTGATTAAACTTGTGATTTTTTGTTGAATTTATTACCCTTCAACATAAACAAAGCAAATAAATATCTGTGTGAAAGCAAAATCGTTTTAAAAATATAAAATGTGTTGATTTATTATTATATATATTCTAGAAGACACACGATTATAAACTATTTTAACACACAGCTAACTAAGTTTTACTATTTATCAATAGGTTCTAGAATAGAAGTAAACTATGATATCCATTATCCAAGAGAAAAAAAACGTTCTAACATTGTTAAACAAAAATCTACTCGCATCAGATCTTGTAAGGTTTACCCAGAAGCGTCGCACGTAGACGCACAGCATAGCATCGTAACCTAGCTACGGCGTAGCGCTACGCGAGGCATGTCTGTTGTAATCTGCTACGTCTGCAAACTGAATGTCTTTTAGTTTTAGACTTCAAGGACAATGGCTGCTATGCAGAGGTCCTTTGAGTTTGGTCTTAGTACTTTGTTTTACGGAAACCTTTACAAGAGCTAACTTTAATAATGTATGATTATTGATTTTACGTATGTTACTGCACAGTTTCTTATATTCTAAAGAACGGATTAATAAAAAAAAACATAATTGATACTACTACTACATCAGTATAAATTCAGGAGGCAATTAAATGAATACGTTGAAGGTAAAAAACAAAAGGTATATTTTTTTTGAAAAAAAATAATAATGAAAAAATAAACTAGTTAGGTAGTCATGAAAAAATATTCAAAATGAGGTACAAAGTTTCAATTATTATAAAACAACGATATCAGAGTCAGAAAGTTTATTTGCTTTACTTACTCACTGTAATAACTTGAACGATTATTGTGAGCACATAATTACACATTGTCAAGTTGTACAGAAAACGGTACAAGATACTCACCATTTAAGAAAAAAGTAATGATTACGGAGGATAGTAAATCGATTGACAAAATACACATTTGAATAAACGAAGTTTAGCTTAAAGGCAAGTATTTCATAAATCGTAATTAAGTTACACAAATGTTTACAGTAAATAGAACTCATCTGCGTTACGTGACATAAAAATCCTCTACGTTACTATTCAAAACATTTCAATGAAACCGCCGTAGTATTATTTAGATTATATATTATTTCAGTGCAAAATATATGCTTTCAGAGCCGAGCGGCCCACTGATGTCTGAGCCGATATTGAGCCTATACAAATCCCCCTTATCAGGTACGATAATATTATCATTTGTACGTTAAATATGTTAATTTATTAGCAGCGATGGAACATGTGCTACTTGTTTATTACTAGTAAGTTTATACAATGTTGAGTGGATAGAAGAATTCATTTTCATTTATGTTTAAATTCATTTAAACGTGATGAAAAAGAATTTTATAATTTACTATTTACATTGTTTACTATTTTATTATAATAACAAATTAATTACTTTTGTTCATTTATATTTTACTAAATATTAAAAACGTAAATGTTAAATGAAACCGGTGAAATTTATACTTACACACGTGAATATACATCCGACTGCATAATTATTTATATAATTTTAAACACGTGCATCGTGTATTAACTAAATACTTGAAGGCTGGGCGACTTTTATGTGTTGCACTTACTTTTATTACTTTATTAGTAATATATTGGTCTATAACATGTAGTAATATGGTAATGATAAGCATTATTTTGTCCTATTACATTATGATTACAGTATGCTATTTTATTACGAAAAAGGATGTTTCCCGATAAATTACATTTGAAAAAAATTATATGAAATTATATCCAATCGGAATCAGCATTTTATTATTATTCTTATTA